GGTTGAGCAGCACTTTACTTGTCCAAGAGAGAGAAACAGAGGAAGAGAGAAATGAAATGTAATGCAAGAAATGAAATTTATTGTAAAATTAAAGGGTATGCAAGAAATGCAGCTGAAAACACCAGACAAAAAAGTCTGCGGAAAGGAAATGGAAGAAAGAGCGCCAAAAGCTAGAAGTAGTTAATTACAGTAACAAACTAACAATATGACATAATCTTTGGTATATTAATAACAGCTTTTTTGTCGTTAGCCTGAGCAAAGTACATCAAATCGTACGGAGTATCAAATTATATTAAATGGACTGTTAAGATGGATAATTCAGTACATTCTTTTTTCTCACTAATAGGTCACATCAAATGTTTTAACCAATCTTGTTGATTCGTTACTCCTATTGTTCCAACATACTATTGCTTGTTTCAAGTCAAACTTGTATTTTTACCATCATCAGGCATTGACAGAAAGTTATAAAGTTGGTAATATGAGTATTTGTTGCAATTAAAAAATAACGAAGTGAGTATTGTTTTGAGCGGATGAGGGTTAAAAGATTGGTAATATGAGTATTCATTGCAATAAAAAAATTACTCGTTAAAAAAAAATGAAGGGAGTGTTTTTATTTAACAATAACTATTGCCGATTTGATTTGAGAAATAATTCTTTGAAATAAATAAAAGTGTGAATATCATTCAACCAAAAACGCATTAATGACTATACTTTTCCCAAAAAACCCTTTTTTACTTAAAGTTGTACTCTGTATAATTTGTTGCAAAATCAACTACTCCTTTGTAGTTTATACTTTATACTCCTTCAGTCTTTTTTTTTATATATTTTCTACACTTTGATCATTTTTCTCTCAAAAAAAATTTAAATATAAAAATTAAAAAGAGAGAGGGAGTAATATTTTATTGGGAAAAAAAATATTTTTTTTATTATAAATCATGCAACGTCGAGTACCAACCTAGTACGGAGTAATAAACTAATAATACTCTCAGATAATGTGGGAATGCTAACAGGAAAAAACTATCACTGAACCTCCCGTCCTGTGCCGGTTGAAACTGGTTTCAATCCCAGCATTCTAGCAAACTTTCTAACATACCCATCAGAAGCTACAAATGCTTATGTTTTGGTCCATATGTAGATAATATACATTCACTCGTTCTTAGGCCTCGGATTTATCTTAAATCACACGAGTGATTGTTGTCCTAGGGCGAATTTGCAACAGCTCAATCTCTTTGATCTTTCTTCCTTCACCAAGACTAATCTCAAAATCACACTCATCTCCCTCAATCAATTTGTTCTTCAACTGAAATTCTCTCCACCCAGTAGTGACCTGAACACAGTAACATTCCCGACAGATCTTCACTGTCTGCGAAACCCCTCTCTGGTACTTCAGAAGTACCATTTCTGGTCTATTTGGTTTGGGCCGTTCTATGTTGTACTCCGTGAAGATACCTGCAGGAATGTTCTGCACATACAAATGCATTAAATCAGATATTTACAGTCCTCAGACCAATGTTATCAGATATTACAAAAGCTGTATTCATTTCAAATCTTCGGACAGTATACACCTATATACGAGTATTACATTTGGTAAAAGAAGAGCAATCTTTGAGAAAATAGAGGAAATGATGATACAGGTAAACACAAAGGGACATGATAGAAAGAACCTTGCCCAATTCATAACTGTGATGAACCTTTTCACTAGTCGTTGGGTTGTATACTTGTATTGTGGGGGAGATTGTCTCGGGGGTATTAATGATTTTGAGGTAATGAACATTTAAAACATGGAGTTTCCCCAGACAAAGCGAATAGAACTCTTTTTACTATTCAACCAAACATCAATAAGACCAGCTAAAAACTAAAACAAAACATCAATAATCTCCTCGCGCTACTGAATTGCCTGTCACAAAGTCTTCCCAACCCTTTTTCATAAGTAACTTGCCTCCTTCCTTTTCCAGATCCACATTCCAAACTTCTCCTTTTAAGTTTTTCAAGATTACTTTCTTTGGAGTCTTCTCTCTGAAATTCCTTATAAAATCAGGAGGTATTCCTTTTTCATAAGTAATTAGAGTTCTTAATATGCATCAAGGGGGGAGCCACAACGCCTGCACGGCCTACAACAGAAGTACATAGCTTACATCTAATAATCATGCCTTTCTATTGGCTGTTTACATGTTATCACTTTAGTTTTCAATATTGGACACAAAGGGATGCCACAAAAAAATTTGAGATCCTTCCCGCTTACATAATGATGATTCAACCATGCTTTTGGCCAAATCATAAGACAGAATATTTACTGGGGCATATATGTGGATCCCATTATCAATTCTTCGTAACACAAACATAGTCTTCAATACTTTATACTGTACATTTGAAGTTAGTGTTGAGTTGGGCACCACAGGTGAAGACAGAGTCCTTCATAACTAACACTATATCCACAGAAGTAAAGGTCCTTTAAGAAGTTGATTAAGTTTAATTTGAAGCTTAACTATTTAAAATGTAGGATAATTTACGCAGTAGGTTAAATAAAGCTAGCTTAGCCATTTCCTAATCATGCAAGCATTAATCTGTACGAACTTGTATATAATTTGTGCAGCATGCATGAATCAAATGAGTAAAATAAATATAAAAAAAAAATTGAAAATCACTGATAAATGTATACAGTGAAATTATTGATAATTTCTTCCACAATTCTGAAATTAAATTATTGATGATTAATTTAATAATTTTGAGTACATTTCATAAAATTGAACAATTAACAATAAAACCCATTTGCAAGAAAAATACGGAGTAACAAAAATTGCAATCATTCAAATAAAAAAGAAATTATACAGAAGAAAGACTGTACCTTATTAGAGAATTGTAGTAAATAAAAACTTATTAATTTGTAATTAGGGAGTAGTAATTGCGTATAATTAGAGATTTAGAGGCAAATGGAAGAAATGAGGAACAAGGGGAGTATTGATTGACACTGACAGAGTGACAGATTGAGATTGACTGTTTGATGATGGTTTGTTTTGAGTGTTTGACGACCAATGAAAAGCCCAAAAGAAAAGTCCGAGTGATAGAAGAAAGTTAAGAAAGTGGCTAAGCCCATTGACTTCATCTTTGATTCTAACATGTAAGGTTTGGATTCTAAAGACGAACATGATGTTGTGTTTATTAAAAAAACAAAAAAAAAAAAAAAAAAAAAAAAAAAAAAATAAATTGAAGTTCGTAGGTATGGGCGTTTAAAAATATCTGATTCGAAAATTCGATAATCCAACCCAATTTCTTTTTTTTTTTTGTGAATTTCAACGACCTGATCTGAAAACCAGGTGATCCCTCCAACCCCTAATTTTTGAATATCCAAATTATGGATTGAATTCGATATCCGAAATTGAACAAGCCTAACAAAGTAACAAGTACATAGAGGGACAATGAATAGCTGGAAACTTAGAACACAACAATTCAAATATTATTCCATTAATTTAAGTTCGGTTTTGTAAGGAGGGTTTTGAATCTTTTGATGAATTGAATAACGTAGAGGGTTGGCTATATAAATTCACTATGAGAAGGTATTGGGTGCGCACTGCCACACGAAAATTTGCGTGCAGCAAGTTGGCTGATACATTTCACTTGTTGGCTGAGTTTCATGTGTTGGATGATATGTTTCATTTGTTAGCTGATATGGTTTTTGTGTTGGCTAATATATTCCTTTTGTTGGCTGATATGTATTTTTTTTAAAAAAAATTGATATGTTCCTTTTGTTGGCTGCTATCAGACATCAGTTGGCTTATATGTTTCTTTAGTTGGCTTATACATATCTTTGTTTTGTTGGCTGATATGAATATTTTAATTGTTGGCTTATATGTTTCATTTTGTTGGCTAATATGTTTATTTTGTTGGCTAATATGTTTATTTTGTTGGCTTACATATTGCTTTTGTTTGCTGATTTCATCCTTTTGTTGGCTAATATGCTTCATTTGTTGGCTGATATGTTCCTTCTATTGGCTGATAAGTACATTTTATTGGCTGATATATATCTTTTATTGGCTGATATATTCCTTTTGATGGCTAATACGTGTTTATTACTGTCTGTTATGTCCCTAATGTTGACTAATATCATACATCAATTGACTGTCAATTTTAATGGCTAATATGCGTTATTTATTGGCTAATATGATTAACATGTATAATATATTTTTTACTTCCTTCCTACTTTCTCTCTACTCCTCACTCTTCTTCACAAAATAATGGGCAAAATCATATCAGCCAAGAGCCCAAAATTAGCCAAGATTTCTTTCTCTCTCTTCTAATCCTATCATCGCCAATACAATCACCACGACACCACCACAGTATCTCTGCTTCCTGCCGCAACCCCCACCCACCACCAACACAACCATGCACCACCACACTTCTCTCCTTCCTGTCGCAGCCCCCACCAACCACCAACACAACCACCACCACACTCTCTCTTCATCCTATCGCAGCCACGCCGGAGCCCAGCCCAACCACGCAAACCAACAACCTAACAACGCTTCCACCACCAGCGAACGATAACGCCCCACCACCAGCGAACGCCTCCTCCTTCGCCAAACCTCCGCATCTGTCATCTGCTTTCAAACAGAGCAAATCATCAATTTCGATTCAATAGCAAACTTCGAAACAATACCCCCCCCCTTTGATTAATTGTGATAGTTTTATGCAATTGTGAATTTTTTATTTTGATTGGAAAATAGGAGGAGCAGAGGAGAGAGAAAGAGAAAGGAAGAGAAGGAGAGAGAAAGAGAAGGGAAAAGAAAAAGGAGTGTCGCACAAATAGTAGCCGCACCCAATAGTTTGTGATTCACTATTTTGGCTTTTTGGTAGAAAATTGATTCAATAAACTTGTTATAATCAACAATTATAATTTCTAAAAGGTTTGAATTTTCTATGCGACACTTAAAGTATCGATGGTTGAGAAATTTTAGTCAAATGACATCTATATCCTAGAATTACTAAAGTAAGAAGCTAAATAACGTTCGCATTTTACTAGGTAATGCGATATACTTAAAAATAAATGAACGAACATACCCTCACATATGTAATAAAAATGACCAATTTAGCCCTTCATCAAGGTGAGACCGTGAGAAACCCGGTTTTGCTCGTATAATTTGACTCATACTTGCAATTAAATTCAATCATCTTGAAAAAAAAAAAAACCAGAATACGTGCAATCAACATAAGTGGGACTCAATACCTTCACCTTCACCTTCACCTTCACCTCCAAGTTTCCTCCAATCTAAATTTCCTTCTCATCTCTCCTCCTCCTTCAACCCACCAAACCAACACCACCTCAACCGCCATTGTTATCTTCTTGAAGCAACCTCAAAAAACCCAGAAAAAATAGCATTGTTCATCCTCCTCTACTACCGCTTCACCCACCACATTCTCTCTCTCCTCTCCTCCTTCCTCCTCTCTCTCCCCTTCTTCCCCACCATGCCCTCCTCTCCTCCACCCCCACCTCAACCACCCTCCTCCTCCTCCACCCCACCTCAACTCCTCTCTCTCTCCTTCAACCAAGACTCCACCTGCTTCTCCGCCGCCACCAACTCCGGCTTCCTCATCTTCAACACCCACCCTTTTCGCCCCATCTTCAACCGCACCTTCTCCCACTCTCTCTCCCTCGTTCACATGCTCTTTCGCTGCAACATCCTCGCCTTAGTCGGTGGTGGGCCCCACCCCAACTTCCCACCTCACAAAGTCATGCTTTGGGATGATCATCGTTGCTGCTGCATCGGCGAGCTTTCCTTTCGATCTGATGTTAAGTCTGTTCGACTTCGTCGTGATCGGATTGTTGTTGTGCTTTTGCATAAGATTTTTGTCTATAATTTTGCTGATTTGAAGCTGTTGCATCAGATTGAAACGGTGGCTAACCCTAAGGGTTTGTGTGAGGTTTCGTGTTTGTCGAATTCGATTGTTCTTGTTTGTCCTGGGTTGCAGAAGGGTCAGATTCGGGTTGAGCATTATGGGTCTAAGAGGACTAAGTTTGTTATGGCTCATGATTCCAGGATTGCTTCTATGGCTTTGACTCAGGATGGGAGGTTGGTTGCTACTGCTAGTAGTAAGGGTACTTTGGTTAGGGTTTTCAATACTTTGGATGGTTCTTTGTTGCAAGAGGTATTTTCCCCTTTTTTTAATTTGTTGCCTTGATTATCTCAGCTTGATTGTGCTTTTGTTTTTGGTAGATTTGTCATTTGTTGTCTTGATTGATTGATTGATTGGTGTACTCGTGAAGGGCAATGATGTAGGCGGGATTTGATTCATGTGTAGAATTTAACTAGCTTAGCTGGCTGTCATCTATATTTTGCTGCGATTAGTGATAGTCAATGCCTGATACTTGTTTGGAAGTAAGATCATTTTTGATATTCTGTGCACTGTGAATGTGATGATACATCATGATTTTCAGTTGAGTTGGTAGGTTTTATGCAGTAATGTAGCTGACGATTTATTTGTCTTGGTCATATCCAAGAAATGTAGTCGTGCTTCATCTCCAGTATACATCAAATGCCTGTTGGTTTTAGCCATAAGATTATTTTAGAAATTCTTTAAAGGGTCAAATTATGATGCCTTATTAGTTGCCTGTGTGGTGTTGTCGTTCAATTGCACCTGGGTAAACTAGTGCTTATTTGGTGCAGCATGGTTCTTGGCAAAGGTGATTTTGGCTATTTGTTTGTATATGATAACCCATTGGTATGACTTATAGTGTTCTGCAAATCATTAATAAGTGATGTTTGATTACTTTGGTATGTTAGGATATCTGTGCGTTTAAGACATTAGCCATTAGATTTGTGGTATAGTGATATTGGTCAGTTAAGAATTATCTATCATTCATTCACTTATCAGACTGACATAGTTAATAGTGGGCTTGTTAATAAGGAATAATTGGGGGTTGAGATGGGAGAGGGCATTGGGGATGATAAGGAATTGAGAGCTGCAGTAAGTTTGAGTTACTTTTAAGTTTATCTGCCTGCATTTTATTGCTTTAAATTTACAAGTGTCACACGTACAAGTTAGCTTTTTTCATCTCTTTCTATTTATATTAGCATGTGTGACTATTATCAATTTATCAGAAAGCCTCTTTTGCATACATACGCAAAAAGGTGTTTACAGACTATAGAATCATTAGTTCTGAACTTGTATCGTGGAATCTGTTATGTAGGTAAGAAGGGGAACTGATAGAGCAGAGATACAGAGCTTAGCTTTCTCTTCTAATGCACGATGGCTAGCAGCATCAAGTGACAGGGGGACCATTCATGTTTTTAACCTGAAACTTGAACCAGGATCTCCTGGAAACAGTGGTTTGCAGAGTCCACCTGAGCAACCAAGCTCTCCACGTTCCCCTATATCATCCATCTCCTTTATGAAAGGTACTATCTTCTCCTTGGTGCTAATCTTCTTTTATATGTTTTTAACCTGAAGCTTGAACCAGAATCTCCGGGTACCATCTTCTCTTCTAATCCATGTCCCCTACATGGTGTTGAGAGCCACTAAATTGAATATGCTGTTGGCTTGTTAAATTGCATATTAAAAAAGTTTGTAGTAACAAATGTGGTCAGCCATTATACAAGGAATAAGATATTTCATGTAAATTTAGTGTACATTTACACACATTGCCTGAATACTTATGACGTTTTCTCTTTTGGATGTCTTAAAGTGATCCGCTCTTCTGTTTCAAGTAAAATTTGATTTTTCATTTTATAAACCCTTCTTGTTCCCATTTCATTATTTACTCTTGTTTATTTCTTTATCCATTCTCAATATTTGTATGCACTTTTAGTGATTTTCCTTATATGTTTGCGCCAAGCCAAACTAAGATGAATTATAGGGTCTAGGGAAAGAGGGAATAGTATTTTTGAGCAAAAACAGGAGCAGTTAGTTAGATAAGGCATTCACCATCAATATCAAACTGGAAAATATTGCAGACATTTGAACATTGAATTGACTTAGACTACCTGTGCATTTTGGAGGAGCTGCATGAGTTATCAAGGGATGTATAAATGATTAAATGTATGATCTTACATATTTTTTCCTGAGTGTTTTTTTTTTTTTTTTTGGAAAGATTTTCCTGAGTGTTTTTGATTTATCTCTTTTTGCAGGTGTATTGCCTAAATATTTTAGTTCAGAGTGGTCAATGGCCCAGTTTCACTTGCAAGAAGGTACTCAGTACATTGTTTCCTTTGGCCAACAAGAGAACACAGTTGTGATAGTAGGAATGGATGGAAGGTAAATTATTAAATGATTTTTTTCTTCATCATCTTTTTATTCTGAATACTTAACTTCACTGCAGAGCCTGGCCAGTATGTTGCCTATTGCCTCTAAGTTCCGTTTTCCCTGTAAAAGTAACAAGAGAGGTTATTTTGTCCTCCATTTGTGACATATTACTATCCTGATGTTGTATTTCATAATATGGCTTCCACATCAAGAAATTAGAGCTTTCTGGTAGTCTCTTGGTCAAAGTTACTTGTTTTAAAAAGAAAATTCCTTTATATTCTATTTGTAGTAGTTAGATACGTTATTGCTTGACTATTTGAAACTCCGCAAGCCGTTTTATTAAGATTTTGCTAGATCCCCTAGCTGTTCAATGTCGTTGGTAGTAGGATTTTAGATTTCCTAAATGATAAGAGAAGACAGACAGACATCATAATGTCCAACACTGTGAATTTGAGCACACTTATAATCTTTCAAGGGGTTGTAGGTAGATAAGGATTTTACCATTATGCCATTATGGTTATTTGAGCAAGGGAGTTAATGTAAAGCAGCCTTTTTGCCCCTTGTCTGTTTTATTGCTCTTTTTAATCGTTTACTAAGTCAGATATGGTAGTTTCGGTCTTATCTTATACTGGTAGTAATAAAAACATATGGCTGCTGGAATTGGCATCAAACTAAATTTGTTTGCTTTAATTTGAAATTTATTCATAACTGAATTGCATTGTGCATGTTATAGATGGAACTAGCTGATATCATTGATGGAATTGCGGAATAGTTTATAGCTGCTATTGCTGGGAATGTTAAGATGATTGTGTTTGTACTGTTTGATTTTACTCTTTGCAATTACTGTATTCTAAGTGGTGGACTTCTTTGAATTCAGCTTTTACCGATGTGAATTTGATCCTGAATCTGGAGGAGAGATGAGGCAGCTGGAATATCGTGACTTTCTGAAGCCAGAACAGACCTCTGAAAGTTGACGTTAGAGATGCTTACTCCTAATAATTGAATCTCACGTGTTCATGTTTCTCTTTCACATCTTCTTCCTTCTCCTGTTCTCGTTCCTACTATCTTATCTTAAATGGTTCATATTAGATAAAATGTAAATATGTATACAAGTTTGTTGTCACTTGTCGGCGATTAGTTCATCGCTTTGTATATTTAAAGTGCAATAACTTAATAATTAGTCGTGACAGAGAAATATACTTATTTTATGTAGTGTGGTCACAATTTGATAAAACTAGCCTTTGTATGATTACAATTTACAAAAGCCTCCCAGAATTGGGATCCTTGGTGCTTGCATGGAAGTGATGAACTAATATCTTTTTGCTTCACTTTGCTATGCCAAAAAGAGGAGGGGAAGGGAAAAAAAATATTGAATGAGATGTTAATGAGTACATTTTCAAATATGTAATTTCATAATTTTTTATTATAGGGAAAATAAATTAGAAATAAGTGAATGCAAATAAAATATTTAAAAAAAAAAAAAAGTACGAAGTATGGTCGAATTTAATCTGGTTGGTTAATTTCTAAACCAAGCAATTATTTGATTGAACAAAATTATACTGAGCATAGCCTTAATGGTTGAACTAACAGTCCAGCAGTGCTAACCGTCTCTCAACGGGCTAGGTAGCAAGTGCTGTGTTGGGTTCATGTGGAGAAATTAGCAGATTCCAACCCTACTAAGATTCTTCAATTGGACAAAGCAGAAACATGTACTGAAAAACAAAAGGTTTTTTGAATCATTGTAATATGAATTACTTCGTACATGGTACTATGGTAGTATGATACAGTTGATTGAAATTTTTCTAGAAAATCTTTACAGAAATATATATGCTCTCCTTCCTTAGTGATTTAATTGATACTGCAGTGAAAAAGGCTGGGATAGACGATTTTTAATTTTGCACTTGGATGTTGGAAATAAATCCAACTACCTCAGGAATTACACTCACTCTAGAACAAAAACGCTGTAGAACATGCACCATTTTCAACAGTTACTTCTTTCTTTTGAATCTTTACTTTTTCCTGGAAGAAGCTGGTGATTGTGCTCTGTCAGAGTTACATATCTGGATTCGCTTCCTCAGGGGTCACGGTTAAGGTTGCCTCAGCATTGTTTGCCCTCTTCACAACCACCTTTACTGGCTTTCCCACTTTATCGTCCATTAAGTCAATAATCTGTTATAGTGCAAAGAACAATAATCAACTTACTGTTCAGCAGCTCTTCAGGCTTGTTATTAAAAAAAAAAAAAAAAAGAAGAAAACATGTTACTGCTTCAAGTAGAGCTATAAAGGCCTGAGAGCAGTACCTCTTTAATGCTTCCAACAGGTTTTCCATCAAATTCAGTGACAACATCTCCTGGCCGGAATCCAGCATGATCTCCAGGAGAGCCTGGAGTAACCTGTCTCAGATATGAAGACCACAGATTACAGTTTAAATTTTCAAACATCATACCACAAGCAAATGAAAACACTGCCTAATATATGAGACTAATAATAATGCTATAAAAATCGAATTGCTCAACCAAGAAGCTAGCAAAAAACACATGCAAGTGCACATATAGGCACAGAGACTTAAAAACAACCAAGAGTTTTGCAGCTGTCATAAGCTATCGACTCTGAACCAGGATCCATCCAGAGATAATGTAACACTTTTCCTCATGTTTTATTCCCTTGTTCCAGATCTGCACTAAAACCTTGATGCATCTAATCACCTAACCTTTAAACTTGGTAAAGTTGTAAATTATTCCCAATGATAGAAAATATTCTCCAATTTTAGAGATCAAATGACCAAACGAGGAGAGGAGATGGGTAAAAGTAAGAAATTGTCAAATATGCAAGCGCAAAAAAGTTCTGTGATTGAGATATAAAAAAAAAAAATTACAAAAATAAATAAATAAAAAGTTCAGAATTGCTGGAAATCAGCATAGGATTCTCTATATAAATTTCACTGGAAATCTGTACTTGCATTACACACCTATATTCAAGAGGAGGGGGCCTCAAAAAGAGAGATATACCATGCATAAGAACATACAATGATCCAGTTTAGTACATCAAGGACAAGTAACAAAAAGTTTTCAAAGACCCTATTTTGAAACACAGCTATAACACAAAATGCACAACTTAACAGCAAAGATTTGCGGAAAATGGGAGCTAGATTCCACGTCATGATAGTTCATAATGTTATAATCTCTCCATTTCACAATGATCTTCCCTTTGGAATCTTTTGACTATTACAAATGAGAGTGAATATTCTAAATTTCTCTCTATATATAAGAACAAACATATAGCGACTCTATCCTACATTCCTTTACTACCAATTACATGAACGTCATGAAGTATAAAACATTGGCACATGTATAAAAAATGTGACACTGGAAAATGGATCAAGCAGCCATCTGTTCATAGACTCTAATCCTGAACAAGTTGTTCTTCCTCATATGTAGTATATATTCTTAACTGCAAGGAAACCTAATATTTAATCCTCATCCATGAGGAGCCTGATCAAGCTTGATGCAATTCTACTCGGTTCTTAATCTTCAAGACTGACAAATTGACAACCTCATTTAAACATGGCTTACACTTTTGCCCCAATTGCTACTTGTAAGGTTATCTATCAAATAAAATATCTAATCAAATTTGCAAATGTTGCATAATGTAACTTTCATCCCAACCTCAATAAGTACATTTTTTCACGGGCGCATTAGCATGAGGTTTTTTATCCCAGCTCAGCAAGCATGAATTTGTTTCAAAGGAAAATGGATGGGGCAAAAATAAAGCTTCAGGAAAAGGAAACCTGAACCTACCATTGGGACAAGTACGCCTCTGTTAACATTAGGAAAAACTGGATCTCTCTCTTTAAGCTGAGATATGATCATGTCATTGAGATCAATCATTTTGAGTCCAAGCCAAGGTCGAACAACTCTCCTGCACCATCAGTAAATTCAGTGGCACATCATCCTGAGATATTAATAGCAACGATAATGCAAGATAAGTATGACTAAACATTAGAGAATAGCTAGCAAATTTTCATTTGGCCTGAGGGGGTGCTTGTAAGATAAGTTCAAGAATTTTATGCAATACCCTCTTTTCTTGAATTGGTCAATGATTTTAGAGACAGAGTCGATTGGCACAGCAAAGCTCAATCCATCAGCTACTAGCACTTTCATGTTATTAACCCCAACCACCTCACCATCCATATTAACAAGAGGGCCTCCTGAATTTCCCTAATATAAGAATAAGAACAGCATAAAAGAATTTAATGTAACCAAAGGAATAAAACAAATATATTAACAGCCACCACATCCAATCAAGACTCCTGTGAAAGTGGATCTGATGAGATGCATGCAGCAATAACCAAGCACAAGAGGCTAGGCTCTTTGTTATATTTCCATATATTTGATAAAAGATAAACTAAAAATGCTGTGGCAATGAATATAATTTATTTTATTTATTTTTTTCAAGAGGTTCATGGACCAATTAATCACTGAAATAGTGAATTCAACTTGGACATGCAATGCCTGATTCTCTTTAATTCCTTGTCAAGAAAAGTCAGGAGTGTTTATTGGATAACACTAGCAGGAGAGAGTCAATCCTACCACATTAATGGGACAATCCGTCTGCAAGTATTCTCTTCTCATTCCACCAAGACCCAGATCACTGCTTTTTCTGTCAATACAGCTGCATATTCCCCATGCAGAAAGCAAACAGTTAAAACCCAAAATAAGAAATGCATCAGCAGGATACAAGCCTAAGCAATATAATGCCAAACACACATGATCATAAAGTGATAACTTCTCCAAACAAGTTACAACTGTGAAGTGGCTGACAATAAAATGTAATAATAACAGCAATACTTTTTACAAAGTATGATTTATTACCAGTATTACTTAAACTATTGGACCACTTACTTTGCAGTGACATATTTACAACCATGAAGTAACAACACAGCTTTTTATTTTTGAACTTTACCTTACAATACCAGCTGTCACGGTATTTTGGAGGGAAAGAGGACAGCCCATTGCTATCACCCAGTCTCCAGGACGAAGTTTATTTGACAAGCCAAGTTTTGCAGCTGGTAGTGGTGACTTTGTTTTGACCTTTACAATTGCAATATCAGAATGTAAATCAGCATTCAATACTGTGCCCTCAAATGTTCTACCATCTTGCATGGTCACCTCAATCTGCAAAAGTTACCAACTATTATCACTTAATCAAATATAAGTCTCACACCATCACAAACAAAAAAAATAAAAAATAAAAAAAGTCACACTAAAACCCAGTCATGAGTCTTACAAAGCAGCATAAGTGTCTACAAGAAAAAACTTGAGAGAAGACACAGTTAAAAGGCCAATAACTACAAATGACATTAAAATTGAATACATCTATGCAGCAAGTATTGCAGTACTAGAACTTTATTAAACTTAATAGTCAGTTCCATCAGTCTGCTATACAGTCTCCCACAAGATCATATCCTTCTCAAGCTCATCATTCTAATTTCCTTCATACCAATTAATTATCCTGATATTGAATATTTCATAACAACATGGCACTAGGACACTCAAATTAGACCAGAAGGTTATAAAATACCAGACTCTGACCATTCAGAAATTAAATTTATCTGATAAGAATAATCCTATTCTCCTACCAAAGTCAAAGTAAACACTAAATCAGGCCAAATTTACCTAATAACTACCCAAAGTAGTAAATATTATAAGCCCTGAATGTGAGCCATTCAACAACAGATAATAAAGCAAGCTTGCACCATTGCAATGAGTCGACTTTCAACCAAAAAGTAGTTTGTGTTGAGTAGGAACCATTCAGCTTGTAATGCACATACATGTCCATGTACACCGCTGACTGAATACACAAAGTCAAAACCCTTCTACCCCCATATTTTGTTCACATCCATTAAGTTCCTTGTTTTACAGTTTTCAATAAGTGATTGATTTCCGCTGATTTACACACATTTGAGAAAGAGTCTTAACATCGGAATCTTATAAGATTCAAAGTGAGTCAATTTATCTGAGCACAAGCTTTGACTCAAGTTAAGACGGTTGGTCGCTAAGCGTTCTGCAAGTCCAGTTTTCAATAAGTGATTGATTTCCGCTGATTTACACACATTGAGAAAGAGTCTTAACATCGGAATCTTATAAGATTCAAAGTGAGTCAATTTATCTGAGCACAAGCTTTGACTCAAGTTAAGACGGTTGGTCGCTAAGCATTCTGCAAGTCCAGTTTTTAGCAGCAGTAAGTAGCTTATATCTCAACAACTTTGCATATGCTCATGTCATTTTAAATTGTCGAAAATACAACAAGAGGGATTGTTTACCGATAGATGGTGAGAACATCAGTCACAATACAAGAATATGAGAACAGATTTACAGCATGTTCATGTCATTGGACAGATATAATTTCAAAGCAAACAACTTCCTCTAAAATGAGGTCTGCTTGGTGAGAAGAATAGCCAGATGATGCTAGCTATACACAAGAAGCCTCTTGACACATTGGTCTTGCTTAAAACAAGCAAATTGTCAAATTTGAGCCCCTTGCTAGAGTAGGAAGCAAACAAAAGCTTGATACTGACTCGTCTCCAGAAGTCATTTCCAACAATATTCTAATTTTGTTTCTGAACAATAATTGCTGGATGAGAACTCTTCCAAGTTTCCTTTATAAAGAGATGCCTTGGAAATGTGAATATACAAATTAAATGATATAATATCATCAGTAATTGAGTTAAGCAAACCTCCAATCAAATCCAAAAATTTGATCTTATAATTTGGTGTGGTGTCTGTTAACGTTGTTCTTTAAATCCATACCTTAGAGACTTAGATATATTAATTTCTAGCACATGGGCAATTGGGTGAGTGACTGGAACAAGACTTGGAGAACTTAAAAAATCAGCTAGAGTTAAACCTTGTACTACCTCCATTTCATATTATGTGCAACATCTACCAAAAATGGTTTTTACACATTATGTGCAACAAATGTTTTCTTTCCTTTTAAACTTGTCATCTCTCTCTATCTCTCTCCTCATCACATGCATTATTATTTCTCTCTCCAGTCAACACTCACAAAGAAATTTTGCCTAGGAGTCCGTGCAAGCTCATTTGTTGCACATAATATGAAACAGATGTAGTATTTACTATTTATTTTATTTTTAATGTTGAGGAAATTAAAAACCATCTCCAATGGAGCTAGAATGTTTAGATTTCTATAACTATGGAAGAAATCAAATGGCTTGTTGAGCACTCTGCTTTATATTTAATATAAAGTGATACATGGCTGTCCGTTTTGGATCAAGTGTGTATTAGAAAGCCTCCTGATTATCACAAGGTCAAAGTGCATACATGATATAGATTAGGATTTGTTTGACGGTAGTTTATTTCTAAGAACTTTCACCCATTTAAGGAAGCCAAGGGTTCCATGTCAAATTCAAGCTTTCACTTAAGATTTAAATTAGAAAAGATGTTAATTATTCAAATTATGTATCTTCAGCATCTGACCTCACTCTTTCCTAATGGAAGATACTTACAGGCATCCAGGTAGTGTTGATGTTGAATTCACAATCCTTTCAAACACATCCTCCTAACTCAAACACCGACCTTGGGTGGGATGAATTACACTATTACAGGCATCATGACAGGGTGAGTCTGTCCCAATCTTGTTTTAAAAATTCAACTTAATTTTACCCTTCTATGCTGCAGTATAAATTCTAATATGATGACTAACAAACTTAACTTCTTCATGGCCCTCCATTATGTCAACTTACAAGACAAATAATTCTCTACATCAGTCGTACAACAGCACATCAAATACAGACATAAAGTTATGAGCACAAAAAATCATTTAGAATAACTAAATCTGAGAGACTCTAAAGTCTCTAGTGCTATGTCAAAAGAACAACCACAAGCCACAACACATTGACACATAAAAATAGGCCAAAAACTTGCCAGATTAAAATTGCAAACAGCATTTAAACTTCAAACACCTACTATAATACTATATCCAAATCAAGAGGGGGAGGGGACACAGCTTAAATAAAAAGAGCCATATCAGACCTATTGTACAGAATTTTAAAAAGAAAAAAGATAGAGATTACTCACATTCCCTTTTGAAGATGCTTTCACCCCCTGAAAGTCCACGACCACATGGGCACAAGTTAAAATAGTACCATCAGAATCAATAATGGTTCCTGAGCCGATGCTCCTTCCCATAGTCAATCCATAGATTCCTACAATAATCAATATTACAATCAAATTTTCAATAGTGTAGAGGAACTCTATATAGAGCATAGAGAAACCATGAATTTACCCTTTGGTACAGACAGATTGACAACAGCTGGGCTAACCTTGGCAGCTGCATTGGCAATGGTGTCTCTAGTGAAACAGTTTGAACAATGAGAAGAACCATCAGTAGAGGGTTGGTTTTTTGTATCTGCTGGAGGATCAGGTGAAACTCTAGAAAAATGCAGCGGATAGGGATCATTTCCCACAGCTAGACAATAGGGGTACAAAGATGAGAAAAAGGTATTACTATTGAAAAACAATATAGGCTAGAGTATGATAGATATTCTAAACCTGTAGGTTTATCAGGCATCGAGGGGCCAAGAGTAAACAATGGAACTCGCCATGGCACTGATAATAAGTCACCTCTTGTTGGAAGAGATAAAGAAACTTGAAATCCTGTATTTTAGGGAAAGTCAACACACTTGCAAGGTACTGAAAAGGGCTTAACTAACCATATCATAACATTCATAAGTGAAAAGAAAAAAGAAAACCACTGGCAATAGCACGGAAGAACCAGATGACAGAAAAGCAATGCATCCCAAATTAGTACTAACAATTACTTCGTATTATACATGTGGCACACAGAAATTGATAGGGTATACATATATAACTCAACGACTACCAATCTAATGATTGATATTAAATTCGTCAGGCATGGATTAAAGAATTTTATTACAAAGTACTTTATATTACGCTCTTCTAAACATACCATAAAATCCTTAATTGGCAACCTGCATTTTTCCGAGAACCAGAAAAAAAACATTCAGAATTTTTAGGGTCCTTGTTAAACCATGCAGTTAACTACTAATTTCATTCGGCTACAACACATACACGTTCTTTAGAAATTCAGTATCAGGAATTGGATACAGCGTCAAACATTGAAACCCAATCCAAAATTAAGATCATACTTGCAGATATCTTACATAAAGCAACCTGACTGACTGGAAATCTAAACCTAAACTGATGTTACAATCCTACAAAAGACCAAATAATTGTAAACTCGTCTTATTCGATGATTTTTCACAAAGTTCAAATTGTAAAAGCCACACTTGAATCAACTTTATTCAATCAAATGCACTCCTCAATCTTCATAGCAATTTTACTGACAAAAATTCAAGGTCCGAAATTAAGGAGTAGCTCAATATCATCACAATTGTGTTGTTCTAACTTCCAATACACAAAGTCACAAACGAAAATATAATGATTCAACGCGAGGAAAATATCATTGCGAATCACATTATTGGAAAAAATTACACCAAAAATTGATGGGAAACTCAACTGGAGTTAGAATCAGGAGCAGCATTTGCATATAAAACCCCAGAACCCAAAGCAGCAGTCGCCGCGGCATGTAACAGCAATGAATTCTTACCAAGGATTGGCAATTTCCTCTGTATAAACAAATTCATCACTAATTCACTATCATATACACTCAGTTATATAATATATTAATATCCCAAGAAATTTATAATTACCAAAAAAAAAAAAAAAAAAAAAAAAAGTGAGAAAAATACCAGCAAATTCCTCATTTTCACCAGCTTGTAAGCTTGAATCTAACAAATTCCTTCACTTGGTTGGAAATTCTCTCAGCTGCTTAAACTGTAAAGCTAAACCCCTTCAAAACCCAGAAACTTCCGAATTTTTCAGACGGAAGAGAAAGTGCTTTGGTTTGCTTGGTGAAAACGAAAACATAAGCCCAATTCAGCCCAACTTAGTATAATTTGGGCCGGAGTAATGGCCCAATCCATTTAGTCCAATAGGCCTCATAACTAAAGTTATTGGGTCTCGTTTAAGATTATATCGCTCGCTATTCGTCAACTCCTCATTGTTTAGTATTCGTACTAATTTTAGTAATTTATCATTACTCTGTATTTAAATTGTTTTGTGTTCATACTATAATTATCCGAATATGAGAAACTTTGTACCATAGTTTTCTCATTTTCTGCCCATACATTTGAATATTCGACTTAAGGTCGACTAAAAAATCTCATAAATACTCAATCAAATTGAATGAAGCACAATAAATGCAAAAATATCATGGAGTAAAATCAGTAATTAAGATAGAAAATGTGCATATTAAAACTACTAATTCGTTTATCATAACATTTGTTCAGCAAAATAGGAGGGAGAAATTAAACCCATAATTCCTCATAAACTAACTGCACTACCTTACTTCCGATTTACATACCCAAAATTAACCTTAACCCTAAGATTAGAAGATTTGGTACCATATTATATAATCCCAAAATGTACATCCATCATCCATACATTAATATTCATAACTAATGTTAATAAAATAAACCCAATCATTATTAATGATAATAATAATTAGGCCTTCTTGGGAGACTTAGCAGCCTTGGGAGAAGGAGGAGTTTCCTTCTTATCAACCTTCTTCGGCAACAACACGGGGTTTATATTAGGAAGAACACCCCCGTGCGCAATCGTCACACCTTGTAGAAGCTTCCCGAGTTCATCATCATTCCTTACTGCCAACAGCACGTGCCGAGGTATTATCCTGCTCTTCTTGTTGTCACGTGCCGCATTCCCTGCTAACTCCAACACCTGCAACCAACAACAATTTCATTATTTCAACCTCCATTTCAGATCAAACAACCCCAAAAAAAAATGGGAAAAAACAGGGGGGAAATTTTGAATGTACCTCAGCAGCAAGGTATTCGAGAACAGCAGCGAGGTAAACGGGGGAAGCAGAGCTAAGACGTTGAGCGTAACGGCCTTTTTTGAGGAAACGACCGATTCGACCGACGGGGAATTGAAGGCCGGCTTTAACGGATTGACGGACGGCTTTCTTACGCTCACCGCCGCGGCGGCCACCGGCGCCTTTGGTGGTGGTTTTGGAGGACTCCATTGATGAAGAAATTGAAGGTTTTTTTTTGTTAATGAAGGAGAGAGAAAATGAGGAGGTGGGAAATTGGGAATGGTGGGAGGAGTGAATGAGGTGGTATGTATAGGTGGGGAGAAATGAGGTTGATTTTTGGGGGGGAATTGAGCGGGTGGGATCGGATGGTTGTGGGTTGTGTGGGGTTTGATCTGACGGTTGGGAGGATGACACGCTGGCGATCCGTGTGGGAGAGGTTTTAGCCAGTGGGATTTGAGGTTGGGATGGGAAGGTTTTGGAGGACGAGTTGTGGGGAGTTGGGAAAATTGAAGGGAAGTTTTGGTTGGGTTAAAAAGGACGGTCGAAACTGTAAAATTATACGGAGTAACCGAGTAATGTTTACTCTATAGTCGTATCAATTCAGATTCTTTTCACTAATCTTTCGGTTTTGGAAAAACTATCACGCTAGTCATTTTAAGTGTCTTTTTTTCCGGCTATTTCACTAAATGTCACTGAATAATTGCGAAATTGACCAACTGTCATCCAACTTTTCAAAATTCATTAAATGTCACCGAGTTTTAAGAAAATTCACCAAATGTCATTAATAACTAACGGTTGTTAGTTGACCGTTAGTTGACCCACCCCCTTGCCACGTGTCACCTTCTGATTGGTCCGTTTTTAAAAAAAAATAAAAACCAAAAATATTTTTATTTTTAAATTTTTTAAAAAAAATATTTAATAAAACATGCTGCCACGTCAGCCAGATCAAGGTCCAGCCAACGCAGCAGCAGAAGCGTAGCAGCAGGCAACAACCAAGAACAATCGCAGCAGCAGGTGGCTGAATTTCCAGACAACGCAGCAACCAACGATCGCAGGAAAAACGCGAGCCAACGCAGCGAGCCGAAACGTCAGTGGGTTCCAACGCAGCAGCCAGGAACAACTTCCAGCCACCAAACGCAACCACGCCACGGTGCCGCGACGAACAAGAACGATGCGACCCAAAATTCGAACAATTTCGAATAAAATCATGATTTTCTTACGGTTTGATGTTCGATTTTAATCCCAAAACAAGATTTTGGTATCAATTATCAATCTTATTGAATTAATTTGATGATTTTCATTCAAAATCAAATTGGGGAAAAAATTAGGGTTTTTAAAATTTTGAATCAAACTCTTTGATTTCAAAACGAAAATAACAATTATTTACATGATTTTGCAATTGAAATCAAAAGAAAACAAAGCCCTCAATCAATTTCGACACAACTTGTCGAATTGAAGATCAAAATTTCGTTGTTCTTCCCCTTGTACGAACGAAAATATTCCCCTTTCGTTGTTCTGGTCGGATTTTGCTCCGGCAAGTGGTGGCTGGCTAGGGTTTCGTGGGTGGGCTGGTGGTTGCTGGGGTTTGGGGTTTGTGGGTTTTTTTTTTTTTTTTTTTTGTAACTTTTTATTAAAAATATTTTTGGTTTTTAATTTTATTTTTTTTTTAAACGGATCAATCAGAAAGTGACATGTGGCAAGGGGTGGGTCAACTAACAGCCGTTAGTCATTAATGACATTTGGTGAATTTTGAAAAGTTGGATGGCATTTGGTGAATTTCGCAATTACTTAGTGACATTTGGTGAAATAGCCGTTCTTTTTAATGTACGTTTTAACTATTTTAATTTTCATACCTATTTGATCCCTAAATTTTCCTAATAATCTCCTCCATCAAGGTCCAGTTTACTCCACTTTATTTTTAAAAAACTAAAATTATTCTTATTAATTCTCTATTATATTTCTTTTTTGGAGTAACTGATTTTTACTGTACTAAATTTATTTTTACAAAATATTATTATTTAAATATGAAGTGAACTGAGCCTTACCTTATTATATTCATTGTATTCCCCTAACCTTTAATGGAAAAATGTCCATTTCTATAATTTATTTTATCAGATTGATATGAGCAATTTGTGTACTTTTATAACCTTTAATGGCAAAATGCCCATTTCTACAATTTATTTTAATAGATTGACATGAGCAATTTGTATACATTTCATTCATTAAAATAAATAAAGTGTTTTGACTGGGTGATTTATATTCACATGGATTATGCCAACTGCGCATACTAATTAGAGTTTAGTTCGATTTTAATCACAATACATTAGTACAACAATATTTCTCAACGTGTTAATGCCTCAATACTTGATAATAATGACAAAATGTTTTAATTTTTCACTACCTTAATTTCCTTAATAACCATGTAAACCACCAAAAGTGACTATTCAATAATGGAGGGAGTAATTAAAATGTAGTAGATTATTATTAATAATTAATCATCAACTTTAAACATAATAAATAATTCACTGTTCATATTGTCCTTAAAGATCATTTTAATTACAACTATTTCAACCAATAGCCAGCTACTGATTTTTACCGAACATCAGTATAAACAATCAATAGTCAAACAACCAATGCAAATAGCCAATCAATTTCAAGCTAAGTTGAATAGTTGACAACCGACAACTAACCAATTGCCAAACAAGACTACGGTGATATTTTCAGTTTTCATATATTTGCAAAATTGCCAGGTACAATTAGTTGCTGATGGTTGACGTCCATGATTAATTAATATACTCTATCACGCTCCCTTACATGGGAACCGAAGTGTGGATATGACATTCCACTTGAAAGTTGGGGGTGGATGAGAATATGAATGTGACCTTTGTATCACGCTGGCTCCTGATACCATGTTAGAAGATCAACTCAACAAAAAACTTAAGCTGATTGTTGAGACCCAAATATAGTTTTAAATTCAATCACGCCCCTTAACATTTGGGCTTGAAGTATAGATGCAACATAGGTCGTTTTCATACTCATCGCTTAATATTCCACTTTAAAAGGAGGAGTTTTATTAGTTCTCTCTCCCACTAAACTCAAATACACAGAGTTTTTTTTTTTAAAAAAAATTTCCCACTAACAATTAAATATATTTTCACTAAATATACTTTATATTACTTGGTTTTCTTAAATCTTTGTGAAATGCTTATTATTAAATTCAAAACAAAAGGAATTGGATACAAGAGGTGTCAATTAAGGTGTTCAGATTGGGACTAATAAAATCGGGTCGAGTCAAGTCGGATCAATTTTTAAAGTTGAGTCATATTGAATTATTATGTGCACGCGAGTCGAAATCTAAATCAAATATTTTTCGAGTTATTTCGGATCACATCAGGTTTGTTTCTTACACCTCTCTCTACCCATACAACATTAAGTGCACATAAATCAAGAAATCTACTCCGTGTTACGAAGGAAGCATGCTATTTGGATGCATGTCAAGTTGGACTACTGCTTCAAAATCGGACAAAAATCGAACACTAGATAATATTATATACTGATTAATGGATTAATGGGCCACATTAGGTAATATTGTACCAGTATATATTTTAAAATTGCACTAGAGTCAAATTAAAACAGCGAAACAATATACGAAGTATACATATATAAGGCTAAGGAAAGCAAAAAATATTAAATTACAAAATTAGAAGACCATTATTTGAGAGAGAAAGAGAGAAAAATAAAGAAGATGAGTAGTGAAGGAGGAGGGAAACACAAGACGGTGTGTGTAACAGGAGCTTCTGGTTACATTGCTTCATGGCTTGTTAAACTCTTGCTTCACCATGGTTACACTGTCCATACTACTGTTCGTGATCTAAGTATGTACGCGTACTCTCTTATCTACATACAATTAGCGCCTTTTTTTAGCTACATATGGTTGTTCTCTTCGCTTGATTTTCATATACATATGAACGTATATGTATCATATCATATATTTATAGTGGCATGTACTTGTAAATATTAATATGCATTAAACTGATTAAAGCGTGTTAATTAAGAATGATAGGAGTTTGAACTTGTGACTTTCTGAAGTCACGGGTCATGGTTTATAGGATAGGACTAGCAGTTCCGTAGATCCAAAAATGAAAATTAATTTATATGAAGTATTTTGATAGGAGATTAGGATGGTATTTTTTTTATTTTATTTTTTTTATTGACAATAAGGATGGTATTTATTATACGTAGTAATATATTTCGTCATTTGTACTCGTATATGTAGATGATTCAAAAAAGGTGAAACATTTGATGGAATTAGAGGGAGCAAAAGAGAGGCTTCACTTATTTAAAGCAGATTTAATAGAAGAGGGTTCCTTTGATTCTGCTATTTCTGGATGCCAAGGTGTTTTTCATACTGCCTCTCCTGTCAATTTTAATGTCAAAAATCCACAGGTTCCATCTCTTCTTTATTTTTTTTAGAATTTTTACTTAAAATAACATGAGCTTACTACTTATAACCTACTTTAGTTTACTTTCCTGTTTCCATTACCAAATAATTATACAGTAGTTTAATTAGAATTGAAAAAAACGGGAAGCATGTGATGTTATGAAGATTTGGCGAAAGCACTTAACTATTCTCAATTTTTTTTTTTTTTTTTTTTTTAAGTATATGTGTACAACGCCTATAAAAGTAACAAATTAACAATAGAGAGGTTTTTATTTTTTTTGACGGGAATACAAAATCAAAGTTGGCTAGTACAATAGAGAGGTTATATAGCTTGTACTAAAAAAAAAAATCAAAGTTGGCTAGTTGATTGGAGGCTCTCCTTCCACCCTTGTGAGAGGAGCTTGATTCCTTCCCCAATATCTCCCTACTAGCAAAGAAATTATCCTTACTTTAAAAAAAAGCAAATTAACATCTTTTACTACTAATTAAAATAATAACATGCACGAGTTGTTTGTCATACATGTTTTTCGAAATGTAAAAGAACGCATCACATGCCAACATGCCTTTATAATCTAGTTTTACATTTGCATAAAACTATAATGTAAAATGAATTGTGTGTTTCTTATTTATAATTATGCTTGGTAATAAATTAAATTACTTATTAGGTTGAAGTACTTGATCCAGCCGTGAAGGGAACCCTGAATGTTCTTAATGCCTGTACAAGAGTTCCTTCTGTTAAAAGAGTAGTCTTCACATCTTCCCTCGCAACAGTTCTATTTACCGGTATACCGCTAGCACCCGATGTGGTGGTTGATGAAAGTTGGTTCTCTAAACCACAATTAACCAGCATATTCCCTAACATGGTATGTATGTTTCTTTGATTTTTCTCTCCATATATTACCTAACTGTTAATTATCGGGTTTGGGTTGCACCCGTTATATGATGAGAACGAGAATTGAACCACTTTTAAAGCAACAAGATATTCTTCTATCTTGATTAAATTCACTTGTTATTGATAATGGAAAAGAAAAATTATATACACTAGGTGCATTGTATACTCAAGGGTATGTTCTAACTAATTCAATTAAATATCAAATGAGCAAAAAAAAAACACTTTTGAGTGCAGCTACCTTTATATTCATTCGGGTGCATATAAAAGGTG